AGCTCCCTAACCTTGTAACCAGAAGGTCCTGGGTACGAACCTTGGCGGTGGGTGCGCACTGATGAAGATTCCTGAACTAGACTAATGAAACGGCTGTCCAGTACTCTCAGGTGGTTTCCCGATGGTTGTCTAGCTGATGTCAGCTCATGATGAAATCCACCAACCAATCAGACAGAAAGTCCCTACAAAGCTAATGCTTGAAAATAAACGTTCTATTTTAATAAACTTTTTACATAATGTCCAGAATTTTCAGCAGAAATTATTGCATAATAGTTCCTGTCTGTCCATCATTTTAAAGTGAATCTGTAACGGACAGTAAGTCGCCTGATACATCGCTGTCCTACCTGAAAAAAAGCCAATCCCTCTATGATGATATTTCTTCTTGATATGTATCCATATAATATGTGTGTTTGTTTGACAGTCTGATATATTTTGCTACGTATATATGGATCGATATTCCATTATAATTAGCCAATCATGTTAAGACTGTCTATTGGTTTGTTCATTTTGAATATTCGCTCACACACTTGTTTGGACATTCATATATATTTTTGCTCTCACACTCTTGTGTGATTTTGATTCTCCTGGTGTTTTGGAAAATAGAAGTATCATCGCAAACCTAGTGGTCTTCTGATTTCCGTCTTTCTTGCGTCAGGACTATTAAATTCTCGACCAGTACATAACACTTCTCCACCTCCTTGGAGAAATGCATAACATTTGTTTTGAAAGGCAATTAGGAAAAAAGGTTCAGGTGTACATGTTTCTACCCAAGGACATAATAACAACAGTTGAATAACTGAAGACTGCAGATAATTAGGCAGTAGCAGTTTGTACCAAAAATCTCAGGAACAGTTATCTCTCATGTATGGAGATACGCTGCCACCCCACGAATTTGCTTACTGTCAAATCTATTAGAAACCTGAGAATCAGAAGGTTTTAGATATTTTAAATACTCATGATAGTAGAAAACACCATTAAGGGAAATTCAGAATGATTTCAAACAAATAATATCAACCACTCTATAAGTCCCGTTTCTCAGTATGTAATGATTACTGACGGAAATTCTAATCTGATTCTCGCTAGCTAGCGGCTACACGGTGAAGTGGACTGCAGTTCTTGTGAGAAGTCGTGATCACTAAGGTTCACTGGGTGAGTTGTGATGACAAATACTCACCGATGACATTGGCTGATGGTCGCACGAAAATCGCAAACTGTCAGAAGTTGGGATTCATAAGCTGGTCACTAGATTCGGTCCTAGTGGTCTACAAGCTCTCCTTGCAATTGAAAGACGCAGAGTCCAAAACCTTGCGGTTGATGCATACTGATGAGGAGTCCCAAGCAAAGATGAAACATCTGCGCAGTACTCCCTGGTGATGTTCATTGGTTCCCCAACTGATATCAATCCATGCTCAAACTTAAAACAGATCAAATCTCTACAAACTAAATCTCGGAGATTTTAAAACAACTTTAGTAATTATTAGAATCCTCGAAAATATCTCATTAGACAGTCTCTTATAGTTGCATACAGTCTCTAGTTCTATCCGATAAGATGCAAAAAGAAGACCATGTATGGAGAGGATATTCAAAGTCTGACAGGATAATATTTGTTAATTTCTTGTTTGGGAAACTAAGTGTCTGTCTACAATGGTATTAACGAGTTGGTTTAGCAACAGCCCACTCTCCTTACCGATGACATTTAGAACCCTTCACAGTATAACAAAGTCTTTGTTAAGTAGCCCGGTAAAGACTAAGCCGAAACAGTAAAGTGTCGGCAGAATGCAAGAATTAACAAACGGTAGCAGTAGAGACAGAATGGCACTAGGTAGTCTTAACTTCCCTACGTAGAATGTCAAATAAAATATCTTTCTAGCAATCAACATAATGTGGGAAAATAAGGAAAGTTGATCAGAAGAAATACACAGTTCAAGGTATTTAACATTCAGTTTAGTTTAAACTTCACTGCCATCTATGATACTGGATTAATGGGAATGAACCAGTTCATGTAAGTTGTGCTGGCATCTAAAAGTTAGACTAACCATCTGACATTTGAAGGGATTAGGATTAAAACCATTGACTAATTTCTGGTAAAAAAAGTTATTCATTTTGGAACAGTCTGCCTGAGAAGTGTAACAGACTTATAAACAATCAGATCATCGGCATACTTAACAAAATTAGCTTCAACAGAATGGGGCAAGTCATGTAAGAAGAAGGAAAACAGAAAAGGAGAAAGAACAGCTCGCTAAGGAAACACCGGTTAGAGTAATTGTGGCAACGGAGGACTTCCCATCGTTAACAGTGTTCTGCTTCCTATCAGAAAAATAAGAATGCAACCACTTGGCAATTCAACACTATACTTGTGACGCAATATGCTTGTTTAGCAAAAGAGGCCCAGGTACACAGTCGATAGCAGATGTGTAATCTAGGCAGGTATACCGAATATATTTATCACTCCTATCTAAACTAGAGACAATATTATGATATAAGACTACAGTGGTATCCTAAAGTACACGCACTAGTTTTATAAGTAAATTATTTAGAGTAGTTAAAAGCCTTCAATGGAGGTTCAGGGTTAAGTAAAGGCATTCCTTCTATTGTCTTCAAAAAAGTGAAGCAATGACAGTGATTCATCTGATTAACATGCATCTACAAGTTCACTAGTATTTTTTAGTTTTTTATGTATTTAAAATTCCTACATTCTTTCAATCAAATTTGTGTCAATAATTGTCAACATTCATAGATATGAGAAAATACATATATCTCGTCTTTTCATAGCTAGTTTATTTTCTTGAAACTTGAATCAATGGGGACACCCGCTTTGACCAATGTAGTATTCATCGCAGTTCATACAATTTATTTCGTAAATAGTGTTGATCTTATCTTCGTTTTTTTTGTTGGATCTTTTGGTTTGAACAATATCGAATGAAGCGATTGTACTGGTTTCTAACTGTGTTATTATTCTGGCGGTTATTTCAGAGATATCCTTTATATATGGGAAGGTGAATTTTCTTATGATCTTTAACGTCGCTCTCCTGTCGATATTATGACTTGATTAAATTCTATTGAGTATTTTATTCTTTTTGAAGACAGTTAGTAGGTATCTCTTGTCCATTCTCTTCAGCACTAGAGTGCTATGATGTTTTTAGACTGTTTCAAACACTGTACACAGTATTTTCTGTGAGTCACTGGGTTATTGCTACTATATTTGAGTATTCGGTCTCTGCAATGCTGATTTTCTATATAACTGTGTTTCCAGATTTCCCATTTTAGTCCTTTTGATGAAGATATATAAGAGTGAAATTTTATTTTCTAATTCTTCTCTTGTGAATTTAATGTCTTCAAATATTTTGTTGATTAATATGTGGATGTATCATCAACATAACGTACTGAGATCTTCAGTTTGATTATATAGGCAAAGCTATCAAATCTCTTCTTCACATAACGGCTTCAGCAATTAGTCGTGATATGAGTGATCCCACTAGTGTTCATTCTATCTGTTCGTACACCTGATTAGTGAACTGGAAATATATGGCAAACTGCCAGTTAGAACTCTATGATAGATACACTCTGTTGTTTATCTGGTTTCAATTACCACAAATAATACTGACAGTATCAAGTGTTAGTTTGCAGGGTTTTGATTAGTTGCAGCTGATATTAGTTAACGAACCCACAGGAAAACCAGCAGAAAGTACTAGACAGCTGTTTCGTCCTAGTCTGGGGCTCTGTAATAGCATGCACCCACTGAGACTGAAGCTTAGAACCTTCCAGCTAGGAAGCGACCACGTAGACCATTCCTCTACTTGTAGACGTTGGAATTCGTGGGCCATTGAATCAGATCCCAGTGGCTAAGCGGTCTATGGGCTCGTCTCTTAACTAGAAGCCCCTGCGTTCGAACTTCGGTGAGGGTGCACAATTAGAACACAACAGCTGTCCGGCACTCCCTTGCTTTCGATAGTTCTCTAACTGATTTCAACTCTTGATCAAATACCTACATCAGTCTGCCAAATTAACTCTATTCAGATACTCAGAGCAATATGAAACTTGTATTTTTACTAGACATAATGTGTGTGTGTGTGAGAGAGAGAGAGTGAGACAGATGTATGCTTCTATTTCGCCACAACCTTATTGGTGCTAGTTTTCAAAATTTCACTGAACTCGTGTGTTATTGTTTGGTTATTTTAGTGTATTGATGAAAAATAGTGCCATGCAAACATAACAAATGCTGTCTCTCTCTGCATATATGTGTGCGTAGCACAGTAGTACACACAAAACCACAATGTATGCATGAATATGAGTCGGTGATGCACGTGTTTTTGTTCACATATGCATGACACACAACGCACACACACACACACTCACACACATAAGGTGGTGACCAGCTTATTTAATAATGAAAGTTACTTTCACATTAATATGAGTAAAAATGAATCAGTTTGAGTAAATCATTGTGGAATTAGACTCAACACTATTTATTGCTCAAGAATATGAATTGGGAAGTTTAGCTCAAATAGAAGCTACCATTTGGAGAAAATAAAGGGGAGTATCTATTTTTCTGTCATCTTATCAAATATCAGAACAACTCAAGGATAAAGAAAATTTGTTTTAATGCAGTTAGAAAGTTAAAATTCACTGAAAATCCAATTGTAACTACAATAACTACAGCCAATTTCATTATTTTCAATATGCAATAGAAAAGATTTTGAAAGAGAGAGAGAGATAAAAATTTACGTTATGGAGGTTATGACTACTTGTTACGCTAACTCTATATTAGTAGTCTATTAGAAATTAATGTCAAAAATAGTCCAGATTAGTTATCATACTACATTAACATACATTGCTTGCTCCTTGCAACTTGAATATAAGCAAAAAAGACAAGTGTGCATTTAACAATCACTGCTAATTGCGACCTTAATACAATCATATCTGTGTATATATATGTAAACATACTTAGACTATTATTTGAATTCATCTAACATTGTACACTGTTGATAGCTTGAACACAAATGACGCTTACTTTGAATTGGATTATTCTAGTATGTTTATACACTACGCTGGTCAGTCAGTTTCAGAGTATTGGTGAGTACATTATTGATTGGCTTATTTATTTATTATTATATATTTTTATTTCCTTCTCATATTGATGTGATAAAATGTAATTTTGTCAATTTGGTTCATGAGTTGATCACGGATTGATATCAATTGGAGAACCATTGAAAACCAGCACTGGAGTACTGCAAGACAGCTGCTGTTTCATCCTAGTTTTGGAATCATAGGCAGTATGCACCCAGTGGGGTCGCGCTAAATCACGACTTGGTAGAAGTAAGAATTCATAGACTGGCCATTGAATCTGGTCTCAGTGGCTGAATGGTATACGAGGCAGCTTGCCTTGTAACCGGAAGGTCCTGTGTTAGAACCCCGGAGGTGGGTACGTACTGCCGATGATTCCCAAACTAGGATGAAACAGCAGCTGTCTGGCAGTACTCCAGTGCTGGTTTTCAACGGTTCTCCAACTGATATCGATCCGTGATCAGCTCGTAAAAAGATAACTAACTCTTACAAACCAAATTATAGAAAATTTGGTTCACATAAACGATTAGGGTATGGAAGAGTTATAATGTCCACACCAACGGAGATATAATTGCATAATCCTTCCACTATAATTTATGCTATACATTTAGGTGGGGAGGGGTGTATGTGAAGACGAATTGATACCGGTATTCAGTTTGAAATTCTACGATTCAATCTGAAATGCTCCAACATTGATTACTGTTTCATTCTCTGTATAAGTACCTTAAAAATCCCCATTGGGTCATATGAAAAAAAGAGAAGGCGTTCAGCGAAAAGATTCTTTGCGATGATGGATTCATTCACATAGCTGTACAATTGCATTTATATACAATTATTTTTTATCTGTGTGTGTGTACATAAGGTTTGTGAATTTTACATAATTAATCCGGTAATACAAGAATGATCTAATATAGAAATAAGGTTAATTAGACAGCAATTAAAGTAAGATTGTGTTAGTAAGTTACATGACATGATAAAATTGACTAAAATGTTTCAACTTACTTCAGGATAGTAACTGAGGTATTTACAGGTAGAGACTAAGCAGAGGTGGGGTAAAGGATAATGCCATTTAAATTAGGACTAAAGATAAGCAAAATAAATTGGATGACATAACATAAATACCTTGAAATCGAGCGTTGGTCAAGTCAGTAACAGTGGTAACGAGGAGTAGGAATTAAATTGGATGGGGGTAGAGAACAATTGAAAAGACAAAATAATATGAATGAAGAAACATAGAGAAATAGAATTAACCTGTCGGGTATTAAGATAGATTACATCCATTGCAAGTGTAGTGACTGGATGAACTTCTTCTGTATGCAGAGTTCAAAGACTTATCAAGTGAATTACCATTGCTTCTGCAATTTAAAGAAGTTTGATTTGTACACTTTTAGGAAGATTGCTTCGTATTCTATAGACGACTTTGAAGTTTAAATGAATTTTTGATTTTCCCGTCGACTGATTGGACAGAAGTGCTCGCTTTCAGTCTGACATGTTGGCTTCTTGTGCAGATATTTTGACGATGTCTGGGCACGTAATTCGAATTTAATTGTTGGATGGGGACTAGCAGTGGAATCCAGGATAAAGCGCATTTCGTCCTATTTGGGACTCGTCTCTCAGCTGGATGTATCTGTATTCCCCACTGAGTGACAATGTTCCCACCGATATCGTTTTGGCGTTTGAAACTATGGGAGCTACTGGGCTTGAGCCTCAGTGAGAACAGCATCACTCATTCACTGGGGAATGCATGCACATCCAGTTGACGAGTCCCAAATAAAATGAAATGTGAATCCTGGATTCCACTGCTAGTCACCATCCACCAATTGAATTCTAATAGACTTTGAAGTTATTCTGGGGCCTAACTCGGTATCCGGAATATATACATATATATATATATATGAATGTTTTAAAACCAACCTGTATCAGACACGTATTTTGTACTAGTTTCACTGACTCATAGATCGTTTCATGTCTTGATATTTTCGTTTCTTGGTCACTTTCGCCGTTATCTTTACTTCCAGTGTATGTTATCTGACTTGGCGTTTGTTTGTCCTCACATGTTTCACCAGACTAGACAGTAGATGAACTGATTTCATTTTGCTTACTGCTAAGCTTATTCAGACAAAAATTTAATGATTTTTCAATAGACTACTATTTTATATATTTTGTTGTTTTTGTTTTTTCAAATGCCAAATAAACATATTCAGTATAAATAATGAGTCCACTCGTATATATATATTTTTTTCCTCTGATTATTTCACCGTGCAAAAATGCAAATCGCGCGTACACACCCTCGATTGTAGACCTATGAAATTAATAAATTACGAAAATGTCATAGATATATGAATTGAAATTGGGCGCTGTGGTAGAGCATAATGCCAGCATTTAAAGGTCTTGATATGATTATGAGCAGTAAGTTGTTCTCAAAACGTTATCAGAAAATTACATTGTATCATTATGTATTTTGAGTGAGCATATAGACCGTAATGATCCGATGGCTCAGGGGTGGCGGTCTCGCTAATCACTCACGTAGTCAAGGTGTGATTTATAGCAAAACCACTCCTAAACTTCTCCTGGCCGTTAGTAGGCGCGTGGTATAGAAGGAAGGTTGTACGTGAAGATAGCCCTACGCACCATGTAAAAACAATATCACTGCTACTGCAAATTTGAAGCTCAAGACTCGAAGTCCTATTTTCCAATTGGAAAGCAAAAGGGAGTGCAAGAAAATGAGTGATAGCAAGACAAACTTGTCTAGCTTTTGTTCCAGTATACTTGAATAAGGGTAGAAAAAGGGAGATCAATCATGATTTGAATTTCATTAGATAGTCGTATTTGATTTTGTGTTAGTTGCTTAGAATAACTTTCAATAGTTGGTTTGTAAGAATTAGATTTGTTTTTACGAGTTGATCAAAGATTGTTATCAGGTAGAGAACCATTGAATACCAGCACTGGAGTACTGCCAGACAGCTGCTGTTTCATCCTAGTTTGCGAGATTCATCGGCAGAACGCACCTGCCGGGGTTTGAACCAAGGACCTTCCGGTTAAAGGCCGAGCTGGTATACTATTCAGCCACTGGAACCCGATTCAATGGTCTGTGCATGAATTATAACTTCTGCGAATTTGTGACTTAGCTTAGAATAATGCTGTAATCATATCAGATGTTATGTTTATTTTTATCGAGGTATTTTATCAACTTTTTTTACACAATCGAAATGTCTATCGTTGCCTTGGCTATAATATTCGCGAAAACGCCTCACGATATCCTTTATCCCCATATGTATCTTTTATCGAATACATTTATTCTGTGATGGATGCTAAGAAGATTTAAAAGGCTCATTGATAAACAAAGAATATTCCTTTCTATAACCTTCTCCTCACCAAGTTTTACATTAATATGACAGTAATAATTAAAGAATTATTGTTATTAACAACACTAATGGTCACTTAAATTACATTGAATCAATAATATCGACAGATTTCATTTAAAAAGCATCAGTGAGTAGGAGATAATACGCACTGAAATAACGCAGAACTAAGTGTCAAATAATTAAGGGAAGTAACATAGAACTGATGAACTGATAGTTTAGACAGCAGTCTAAGATGGCACTGCTGGCTATTTCTGTTTCTTTTGCTCCCGTTGATTTAGGTGAATTGCAATGACCTCTAGATACTGAATATTCCCAAAAGTAGTCGTTTTGTCTTAACTTGACACCTTTCAACAGTATGTATCCATGACTTCTTGTAGGATCGTGTCCACGATCATTCAATCATATGAAATGTATGACGAAATTCAGTCAGTAGGTTAGAATGACATATTGTGTAAGGTGTAAATCCTTTGTCTTATATACCATAATTATTCTTAAGCATTTTTCGACATTTATATCTCCAATGAATTAGAGTTGGTTTAAAAGAGGTATAAATATCAGTTTTATGTCCCTTGATCTATAATGATTTTCTTGATCGAAGAGCTAGATCGTCTGTATTTATCATTATTGGGTTCAGGGGATAGGATTCGCTTCTGAAGTCATTTAAAGATATGATGTTAGGCCCTCACTTCCAGAGATCGATGAGTCCTCCTTATGTATGTGTGACCATGCGTGCATTTAAAGAACTTCTGTGAATAAATATTATCAACCAAAGAAGTTCATAAGGAGATGTTAAGAGGTGAGAAAGCCAAGATCCATTCTTCAACTCGCCACTAACAAGGACGTATATCTCAAGCTACCCTACATGGATGGTCATACCAGCTTGATAATTAGAAAAAGATTGAACGCTGCGGTTAAAGAGACTTATTACACAGCTAAGATTTAAATAATTCAGAATGTGAAGTATGTATATCCATCTAGGTCCTTAGAGCATAAGAAAAGTGATGTCACACCCTACTGTATCTACTAGTTTAGATGTGCTTGTGGTTACACATATATAGGGAGGACTCAAAGCATATCCTTAAATAACTCCAGAAGCAAATCTGATCCCATGGACCCATCAGTAGTGATGAAAACAGACGACCTACCTCTTTTACTGCGAAACATATTATAAAGATGTGAGATAAAACTGATACTTACACCTCTTTTAAACCTATCCACAAAACGTCTGACTTGAAATTTGTGGTATCCCTAAACATGAGGAAGTTTAAATCCCCTTTATGTATTCAAGAAGTAAAGTAGGTTCACAGTGTAGTAAAACTACTTGCTTTCATCAACCATGCTGTAAGTAGACGATGAGGTAACCAGGAGATAAGACAGGCTCAGTTTTTCAGTTCCACGTGTGATCAGTCCACTGTTCAAAATTATCAAACGCTATTTGTGTATGAAAAATCTGACTCCATCAGTTTTAAGGTTCAAACATTATTGATTCTAAGGGAAAGAGTTTTCAAGACAAACACAAATGCGAAACATGACTGAAAAATAATTTATATTCATTTATTTAGTTATAAACGATTTGAAGTTACTTCATGATTCCGTATAATTCGAATTTACTGCGTTTTTGCATCACTGTAGCAGTAGGAAGTG